CATTGTTTGAAGTCCTCATGTAAGAATCATATTTATAATATGCACCATACCTTAGAGGGAACAAAGAAATTGACACAGAAGAGAAGACAAGCAGTGAAAGTTGCCTAAGTTTTTCTGTGTATTCATCTTTTCTAATAGTCATACATTCAGACTATACTGGAAGGGTGGGGCAGAGCTCGTTTGAGTACTGTGATCTGTAATGTGTACAGTCAGGGCTCTGTCTAAGTTCTCCAGTTTCAAAAAGAAGCACAGAAACATCTGTATGGGTCTGAAGAATTGGAGGGATAAGAAAATGAATGTACCAACAATGATTGTTTCCTCTATGAACACACCAGAATACTTCCTCAAATACATTAAGAAATTATGTTGATCAATGGATGTGAAAAAAGTAGGTTTTTCTCCAGGATCTACGACTACTTCAACTATGTGTTTTTGGCTATATTTACTGTATCATAGATGAATTCCCTCCCTGAACTCACTGAGCAGGCCTGAAATCCAAACAGAAAGCTCTTGATTTCATCCAAGAGAACAGTGCCACTACTGTACTGATAGAGATATTTTGTTGGGCCATTCATTGTTGTGGTTGTTAGGCTTTACAGTTGAGTAGGATTATTAATTTCTTTTCACTCTTGGCAGCCTTCATAGTATCCTGTGATATTATAAAAGCTAGTCTTCAGGGATGAGGCTTCCAGATCAGGTCCAGCTCAATTGCTCCAAATTCAGCATTGGAAGTATGGCCCTGTCCTCAGCAGCAGGGCCTTGCCTTCAAGTTGTGGGAGGAAATCAAGGGCTGTGGCAATAGCATCTGTTATTTTGAGTCTCTTGGACTATCCTGACCAACAAAGCAAAGATAATTTTTGCTTACTGGCACTGTGATTTTTGTTTTATAGCCTTCATCTGTGCATATGCACTCATACATAGATATTGTATATGTAATTTTCAATTAACTTATGAACTAAATATGTATCCTTATATTTACAGACACGTGTACCTCACCACTCATGAAAGAAGCTTCTTTTTGTGACAGATGGAAAATATTGAAGTTCCACAACTGGTCAAATGCAGAGAATCAGTGTTTATGAGGTGCCTTGTCCTAAGGGACACACAGCTACAACACATCCTCTATACCTAAGGCTCAGAGAACGTAGTGGAACACAGGACAGAAAGAATATTAATGCAACTGTCACCAGTGATGCTTCCCCATGCAAGGGATGATGATTAACCTAGAAAGCCATAACTGAACCAAAATGCAGCAACTAAGATCCAATAGAGTGCTTATCTCTGTATCTAATGTCTCCAACCAAGGGCTCAGGAACCATTATGGAAGAGGGACTTGAAAGGTTGTATGAACCAGGGGTGGTAGATGACCCAAGGAAACTGTTTTCTGGACGGCTAGGAAGTTACATATATGAACTTACAAGAATGGTAACAGCATGCATAAGGTCCACGTTATGCATTAGGAATGGGATTTCACAGACACTTAGACCATTTGTGGAACTCCTTAATAGTCTCTGCCTATAGCAAAAGAATTGTTTGTGATGAGTGGTAACTGTCATATATGTCTTCAAATATAAGCATCTATATTTAGCATATAGTAAGAAAGAAATTACATTTGTCAATGGATGTGACATCCTTAGAGTTTTCTTTAAGATCTGTGAAGGAACCAGGGAAGTAAAAGGAAAGAAGGAGTCTGGGAGAGAGGAACAGTAGGAACCAGGTGTTATCAAGGGGTAAATGTGTAAGATGGAGGTATTTAAATGGGAGGAGAAGAGGGAGGGTTATACAACGACCTATTGGGTAAAGGGGAAGAAGGCGATAAAGAAGGGGAACTATAGGAGACAAGTGTTACCAAGGATAAGATGGGGAAAATAGGGGGCACTTTGACTGGTGAGGGAAAATGGAGGGTTAGAAAGGGAGAGAGAGAGAGAGAGAGAGAGAGAGAGAGAGAGAGGAGAGACAGCAGAGAGAGAGACAGCAGAGAGAAGTAATGCATAGCTGGTATGAAAAAACAGAGGGAAAAGTATTATTTCAAAGTTTACTGAAAAATTACACATACACCATATCTACATGTATCCATGTGTGTAGCTGGCCTGGAACCCACCATTAATACCAGGTCTGTTCAGTCTCACAGAGTTTCACCTACATCTGCCTCCTGAGTGCTAGGATTAAAGGCATGCCAGTATTCCTGGCTCAATAAACCTTCTAAAGAAAAATGAGGTCAAGAAAGTAAACATAGATCTCTCAAAAGATGAAGTATGAATGGTTGAGGAATATTTTTGAATGTTCAAAATCTTTAGCCATTAAGAAAATGCAAATTAAAACTACTTTGAGATTTCCTTTACACCAGGGAGACTGAGTAAGATACACAGAAGAAATGATGACAAATTCTGTTGAGAATGTGGGAAAGGGGAACATGTATTCACTGCCAGCGAGAGTGAAACTTATACAGCCACTATGGAAACCAGTGTGGCCATTGCCCAGAAAGGTTGAAATTGAAGTAGCACTCTCTTCAACCATACCACCCTTGAGAATATACCCAAAGAACTACATGTTATAACACATATACCTCCTCATTCATGTTCATTGCTACTGTATTCACAATATCCAGGAAATGAAAAGGACTAGATATCCCTCAACTAATAAATGGCTAGTGAAAATATGGTGCATTTATACAATATATTATTCAGCTGTTAAGAAAAATAAATTTTCATGGAAATGGAAATAATCAACCTAGGTCAGGTAAACCAGACCCAGAAAGATAAATGTCACAGGTTCTCCCACTATGAGGGTGCTAGCTTTGAACCTTTAAGTACATGTATTTCAACTAGAAAATCCATACATGTCAGGAAACTAGTAAGAGATGATGTGGGTATGGTGGGTTCATGGGAGGGAAGATATATTTCAGTGGCATAAATGATGAAAGGGGTCTAGGAATAATGGAATAGGAGATGTTAAATTGAGTGAGGAAGGACTGGAGAGATGACTCTGTGGATAAGAGCCCTGGATGCTCTTGCAGAGGACTCAGGTTCTATTCCTAGAGCCTATATGGCAGCTGACCACCATCTGTAACTCCAGTTCCTGGGTAATCTGACGTCCTCTTCTGATCTCTGAGGTATAGGAAACAGATACACTTATATACATGTAGGCAAAACACTCATACACAAAAAATAAAAATAAAATATTTTTAAAAAATTGGTGAGGAATTGGGGGGCAGGGTACAGAAGGGAGGATGGGGAGTGATAACCAACAGTCAAGGACTTTTTGAAAAAGAAATATGGAAACCTACTACTATAGATGCTCTAAGTAGAAGCTTTCTAAGAACATAACCAGATATTTTAGGCTAGAAAATAAAAAACCTAATTCTAGAAATGGACTCCCGTTTTTGGAGCTGTTGAGCACTGGGGTTCCATAGAACTTCAAATAATACTGGCTATTGTGATTGCTCTTGGTTACCCTCCAGAACAGTATAGTAAGATCCTATTGCTAAAGAAACTTAGTATGTGAGTCATAGGACATGAAAAAAATCAGAGTGGTACTGACCTCAAATCTTCATTTCTACTGGCTATTTTCATAGCACTGAAAGGTGCTAAACTTACTGCTGGAAAAGAAAAATAATCAATAACCTGACTGAAGTATGAACTCTGTGGGCTACAATAATGAGTGGTCTGGCCAGATATGCCCACTGGTACACAAGTGGCACTGGGCTTATGTGAGTAACCAATTTCGATCTGATTGGCTTTATACAACATGGAGCCTATACCTGACACTGCTTTGGGGGCCAAAAACCTGTTGCTAGACAGTTCACAGACCATAGAGTAAAACTTTCTGATATTCTACTAAACACACACAGTAGGAAACTAAATCCTAGTGATTTATTGTTATATCCATAGACTAGTGCACCTCTCATTTCTCACCAGAAAAGCTCCTTTTGCACAAATACCCAGCTTATCAACATTCAGAGAATAAGAAATTGTGGAGTTCTCAATCCAAAATGGCAAATCTCTATCACACTCATGCCCCAAAGGTTCAGGTAACATGGGGAAAGAGGGAGCAGAAATATTGTAGGGACCAGAGGGGGTAGATGACTATAAGTAAACAGTGCTCTCAGAACACAATAATACTGCTTCACGTATGACTTCATAGATGATGGAATGGAATGTGCAATTCCTGGGAAAATGCAAGCCAGACAAAATCCCACCATGGAGGCAGGGAGTAGGCCTGAAGCCTTGGTCCTGGCTGAGGAACTATTGGTAACTAACAGATGCTAGGAGAGTCTCTGTTTTCATCAAGATTGTGAATTTGGATAAGTTGACAACTCACCAGTGAATTAAGTGTATTTGGGGAACACAAATTAGATTCCATATGTATTAAAAAATAGTAGTCCCAGCACTTGGGAGGCAGAGGCAAGTGGATCTCTGTGAGTTCAAGGCCAGCCTGGTCTACATAGTGAGTTCCAGGGGCTACAGGGAGACCCTGCTTCAAAAAGACAAAAAAGAGAGTATTCCACTGTAGAAATATGGGAGTTTCTTTTTTAAAATAAATAATTTATTGAGAATTTTATATGTTCATGTAAGGTGTTTTGATCAAATCCATGCCCACTCCCTCCCCTCCAACTCCTCCCATATCTCCCCAATACATTTTTTTCTGCTAACTTCATGTACTCTTTCTTCTTCTTTGATTTATCTATTTTCATGGGCCTTTATACTACTCTAACATTCTACCCTCTGAAGAGGTAACCCTAAAATTTTTAAGGATTAGATTCAAGCTCCCAAATACTTTTGACATTGTTGACCTTTGGAACAGAGTATGTTGCTAAGAGTCCCAAGGACATTTTGACTTTTAGCCAAAAAACTGGCTACTTTTCTTGGGACCTTTTTACTCTAACTGCCTAGCAAACTCCTATCTCCTATTCTTATCACACCATTACATGTCAATCAAACTATTGAACATGCTGCACTAGCTAAGGGAGAAGCAGCTATGCCCTACGGAGCAGACAGTACTTTTAGTTCCAGTCTGTAGCACTGTGGCCGGTAAATTATGCCCCTGTTGACAGTAATAAGTTGCAGCATCTTCAGCCTCCATGCTGCTGATTGTCAGAGAGTAAGAGGTTCCAGACACACTGCCACTAAAGAGGGCTGAGCCTCCAGCAGCCAGTGCCGATGTGCCATAAATCAGGAGATTGGGAGAGAATCCTGTCTTCTGTGGGTACCAGTGCAATCTACTAGTGCCTACACTTGAGATGGCACTGCAGGTGATGATGACTCTCTCTCCTTGAGATGTAGCCAACGAGGCTGGAGACTGGGTGAGCACAATTTCTCCACTGGACACTAAGATCATAATAGGGAGATGAAAAGAAAGAGGTTAGTAGAAGCAGAGACACAAAGATATTTTCATGCTACACAATATGGAGAAGAAACAAAGAAATAACTTAGACATAAATTTTTAATGGGGAAAACGATCCTGAGTTTTGAACTTTGAGTTTATTCTCTCTTACCTTTGACACTGAGTAGCAAAGAAATGAAAATCTGAGTCATAAAGCCCATCCTGTTTTCTGATTTCTCTTTCATGCTATGTATTCTCATCACATAACACAGCCTCTTAAGAGCAGCTAGGAGCTGTTTGTGGTTTCTGAGGAGGAAACATGCAAAGAACAGGGTTTAGGTTGAGCAGCTGTGTGCTTGGTTATAAATACAAGTCGTCCTCACTTATATTTATAGAGCTTTGCAAGGAAGCAATGTTCTTGGTTCCCCCAAACACATGGGGTTTTTGAATATTTTGATCAAGAGTATTAACCATTGGTGTGAAAATAGCTTTAATTTGAACTATGTGACACAAGCAGTTCTATGCTATATGCAAAATATGTGTCCCATGACAAAGCTCTGCTAAGGATGACTATTTGAAGTGTACATGAGAAAACCCTGGCCCTTCTGATCTACTTTTTTTTTTCCTGACAGAAACTTGATGGAGAGCTTGTTTGTTCATTGCACTATAATCAAATGATTCTCACTTTAGAAAACAAGGGGACACCTGCATTCCAGAGTCTGAAAAAAAAAAGCCAAGCATTAATTCCTTCCAGAAGAGAAAGGGAAAAATAAACCTTCCTTTATAAAACAGAAGAAAATATAGCTACTGATTTTGTAGCACTTTTCATTTAATCAGCATAACCAGCAAAAAACCCCATGTTTTTCTGTAATTTAATTTTTAATTTTGGGGGGAATTTCATACATGAATACTTGAAT